AATCGTCGTAACTGGATCCCTTTAATCGAACGCCTAAGCCATAAACAAAGCTTCGTAGGGTCTTTGCAAACCCTTATATATCCCTTAAAGGAACCCTTACAGATTCCCTAACGGAACTGACATCCCAAACCCTAAACCCAAAACCCTAACAGCCCTCAGCCCTAAACCCTGATAGCCCTAAGCCCTAAACCCTAAACCCTAGAAGCCCTAAGCCCAAAACCCTAACAGCCGTATGCCCAAAACCCTAAGAGCCCTAAACCCGAAACCCTAACAGCCCTAAGCCCTAAACCCTAACAGCCCAAAGCCCTAACAGCCCTGAGCCCTAAACCCTAAACCCTAACAGCCCAAAGCCCTAACAGCCCTAAGCCCTAAGCCCTCAACCCTAACAGCCCTCAGCCCTAAACCCTAACAGCCCGGAGTCCTAACAGCCCTTAACCCTAAGAGCCCTAAGCCCTAAACCCTAAACCCTCAACCCTAACAGCTCAGCCCTAAGCCCTCAACCCTAACAGAATGAACAGCCCTAAACCCTAAAGAACAACAGTGCTTAGAACCAAGCCCTCAACCCTAACAGCCCTAAGAGCCCTAAGCCCAGCCTACGTTGGGTAGAGCGTTGCGTAGGCCGTCGACCACTTGGGCGAGGAGAGGTGAAGCCAAACCTCCGATCGCATAGGGTTTTAGGGTTTAGGTTTTAGGGTTTTAGGGTTTTAGGTTTTAGGGTTTAGGTTTTAGGGTTTTAGGGTTTTAGGTTTTAGGGTTTTGGGTTTCATAGGGAATTAGGGTTTAGGGTTTCATAGGGATTTAGGGGTTAGGTCTGAGGGTTTCATTGGGATTTAGGGTTTGAGTCTTAGGGTTTCATAGGGATTTAGGGTTTGGGCTTTAGGTTAGGGTTTAGGGTTTAGGGTTTTAGGGTTTAGGGTTTAGGATAGGGATTTAGCTTTAGGTCTTTGGGTTTCATAGGGGTTTAGGGTTTAGGCTTTAGGTCGTAGGGTTTCATAGGGATTTCGGGTTTGGGCTTTAGGTCTTAGGGTTTCATAGGGATTTAGGGTTTAGGCTTTAGGTCTTAGGGTTTCATAAGGATTTAGGGTTTAGGCTTTAGGGTTTTATAGGGATTTCGGGTTTAGGGCTTCGGGGTTCAGGGTTTCATGGGGATTTAGGGTTTAGGGTTTCATAGGGATTTCGGGTTTAGGGCTTCGGGGTTCAAGGTTTCATGGGGATTTAGGGTTTAGGGTTTCAATAGGGATTTAGGGTCTAGGGCTTTGGGTTTAAGGTTTCGTAGGGATTTAGGGTTTAGGGCTTCAGAGGGATTTAGGGTTTAGGCTTTAGGTCTTAGGGCTTCAGAGGGATTTAGGGTTTAGGCTTTAGGTCTTAGGGTCATAGGGATTTAGGGTTTAGGCTTTAGGTCTTAGGGTTTCATAGGGATTTAGGGTTTAGGGCTTCAGGGTTCAGGGTTTCATAAGGATTTAGGGTTTAGGGCTTCAGGGTCTAGGGTTGCACAGGGATTCGTACGGTTTGAGGGGTTTCATAGGGTTTCATGGGGTTACACCTGGTTTCATAGCCAGGACGGAGCCCTGAGGAACAACATAGGGGCCATCTGTTCAAGCCCCTGCGAATTACACCAAATTGCATAAGCCCAACAGCTTACTTGGAGGGTCGGGGGACTTACGAACTAGTTCTTTTCAGGACTTTTACGTACCATAACCCCAATTAGGATCCCTTTTAGGGCACTTATAACTCTACTTAGTATCTACTTACTAAGTCCCCCGACCCTCCAAGCAACTTCAAAAGCCTACAAACTGTGAAACTCCAAAGCCACGGAAGCATAAACTCCTGAACCTTCAATCCCTCGAGCAATAAACCCTAACACAACCCGGAACCCTTCCGCGACTCAATCCCTACGCCGTAATCCGACTGAAACCCCACGAAACCCTATGAAACCCCTATATTACCCTAAACCCCTCAACCCTAAACCTAAACCCTTGTAGAACCCATTGTAAAGCCTTAACCTTAAGGACCAAATGACCTTAAAAGCAGGGGGCCCTATACCCTTACTTGGAAGGTCGGGGGACTTAGTAACTAGTTATTTTTATAGACTTATAAGCACCATAACCCTAATTAGGATCTCTTTTAGGGTACGCGTAACTCTACATAATATCTACTTACTCAGTCCCCTGGCCCTCCAAGTATACTATGAACCCTAAACCCTAAACCCTAAACCCTATACCCGTATACTATGAACCCCGGTATATGAAAAGCCGAAACCTTTTTGGGGCTCTTTTCGTCCTTAAGGGAGGGACCTCTCGAGCCGAAACTGCCGGGACCCTACACTTGAGAAATGCTTAGGGTAGGGTTTAGGGTTTAGGGGTTTGGGGTTTAGGGCTTTGGGTTTAAGGGGTTTTGGGTTTAGGGGTTTAGGGTTTAGGGTCTTCTGGGTTCCTGAATGACCGCTAAATAAGCAAGGTACCCTTTTTCGTGTTATTCAAGTCTAATACGGGGACCATCCAAGAAAAAGGCGAAAAGGGTACAAGTCAGGAACCTAGTCTTCAATTATAGTAGGTTTATATTAAGCCCAAAAAAGGTCAAAGATTACCTACTCTCCAAATTAACTCCACCGGCTTTTCAATGTCTGATTTCACACCAGGCCCCAAACCATCTTCTAGGAGCGCGAGGAGATGGAAGCCAGCACCTGGCACATGATGTATAGGGTCCTTGCGTAGTTTTGGGGTAAATAAAAGGGTAAACTTTCAGATTACTACTGAACTATAATAAGCCAAAAAGGCTTAAAGGTTGGGTATTGGGGAACTAAGGTTTAATGGAGAAGCCTGACTAAGCACTAACATTCTTCTGTAGACTTCTGTATTTGTAAATACACGATCCTATGCCATACGTAAACTGTATTCTAATTGAAATTCTATTGAGGCCCGTATATTCGTCCAAAAGCCCCCTAGACCTTTGCATGCAAAACCAGCTCCCACGGATAATTCAGTAGTATACGTGCCCCTTGCCCCGAAAAGCGTACGATAGTAGCTGCACATCTATCTCAAACCGAAAGCTTACCTTCCCGGCGACGAAGCTAAAGGCCCCCTAAGTTGAACCTGGAAAACCCCACACCCTCCCAGACCACCGGGAGGATCTAAACAGTAGATCCCCTAATTTGGGACCCCAACTAGTAAAGGGTACTTTATAGGAACCCCTCAGGGGATCTATTTTTTAGATCCTCCCGGTGGTCTGGGCTACAAACCTAAGCAAGACAGACGCACGAGGATAGAAGTAGAAGGTGGATGCCTGAGGCAAGGCTCAGTTGGACTGGTTTGGGCTAGGGTTTAGGGTTTAGGGTTTAGGGCTTAGGGCTTAGGGCTTAGGGGTTGGGGTTTAGGGCTTAGGGTTTAGGGTTTAGGGTTTAGGAATGCTGAGTGGCTTGTGGTTCAGGACTCTATTGTGCCATGATAAGCAAAGCCCAAAACATAAACCCTAAACCGATTTTGCTGTAGGCGAGACCGTACGGGATGAAAGCCCTGTGGCGTAGAGCTGTGAGGCTCATGTGCGCCTTGCTGCTTAATGTGGGTGGTTGTCAAAATTAGGGTCCCTTTTGGGGTACCCTAAATATTAGGTGCCGTATTATATTACGGACCCAAAAAGGGACCATAATTTTGACAACCTCCCATGTAGATTCCTAATGACTTTAGCAGTCGCCATCCTCAATCTGTTGGGGTCACTGCCCCTAAACCCTAAACCCTAAACCCTAAACCCTAAACCTTATCCAGGGAGGGGTTGGGTGCTTGGTTTAGTCGTAGATCGCAAGTCTGCAGTATGCATGCATGCATGCATGCAGGTCTTTAAAAGTAAACCGAAAAAGACATCCAACATATTACATTCACCAATGTTCCAGAGCAGCCCTAAACACACTTATAAAGCCCTGCTACAAACCCGAGTTTCTGGCTGATGCAATCGCAAACACGAGCATAGACTGTTGGCTACCTTTGTGGTGCTACTCCCGCAGCCCGAAAATTTTGGAACCCCCAAACCACAAAGATTGTGCTTCATGAACTCAGACAGCCTTTAACAGGGCCTTGCGGTACCTGAACCCTAAACCCTAAACCCTAAACCCTACTAAACCCTAAACCCTAAACCCTAAACCCTACCCTTTGATCGGAGCAGAGGCCTCTATTCGAGGTGACACGAACCCGAACTCCCTGAGCTCCAACATCCTCAAGACTACTCATCCGCTTAGCGTTTAGTGCTTAGGGGTTAGTTTAAGGTTTAGGGTTTAGGGCTTAGGGTTCATTTAGGGTTTAGGGTTTAGGGCTTAGGGTTAATTTAGGGTTTAGGGCTTAGGGTCAATTTAGGGTTTAGGGTTTAGGGCTTAGGGTCAATTTAGGGTTTAGGGTTTAGGGCTTAGGGTCAATTTAGGGTTTAGGGTTTAGTGCTTGGGTTAGTTTAGGGTTTAGGGTTTAGGGCTTAGGGTTCATTTAGGGTTTACGGCTTAGGGTCAATTTAGGGTTTAGGGTTTAGGGCTTAGGGTTAACTTAGGGTTTAGGGTTTAGTGTTTAGGGTTGAAAAGCCTACTAAACTTGAATGGGGAGACAAGGAGACAGGCTTCAAGCAGACCACGACGGAGCCAGGAGATAGCCAGGAGATCCCTAGGGAGATCGACGACACGCCCCAGACGCTACGCCAAAATACTGGCAGGTTCAGGACCGCAGTACTGCTTTCCCTCAAGCCCTACACCCTAGAATTTACAACTAATGCGTCTCTCTGCAAAAACCGTTTCCAGCGGATCCTTTGCATATCAATAGGACGCGAAGGCAAACATCCACACCGCGTCACCTCAAGGAAAGTGGGGTTTGCAATCAGAGGTCTGCATGACCTACCCATCATCCCAGAAGACGAAGCAGACCAGAAACCCTAAACCCTGAACCCTAAACCCTAAACCCTAAACCCTGAACTCTAAACCCTAAACCCTAAGCCCTAAATCCTGAACCCTAAACCCCCCAACAGCCCGCCTGAAGAAATCGCTTGAGCTGCTTCAGGCTCCTCTCCTTGGGTGGATGAAGGGCTCAGAACTCCTTTTGCTGTCTTCAGGGTTTAGGGTTT